CATATTGCATCCCAAGGTTAATCCTTGACTGAGCTATCCGTGTAGTACACACCAAAATATTGCATGATAGACTTGTTAGCAGGAAAATACAACGCAAATCATCCGAAATTGCTGCCATTGATATGGTGTTTCGAATCGTTATGCGTAATTTGTTAATTCCTCGGTATCCTTTAATATTTTCACCGGAATACGTAGCCGTATGTATGATGAATAAATTTAGCATTTCCGGCTACAATTCCCTTCCTCCTCTCTGTACTAACCTCGGAGTGTATTCATTCAGAATTTAGATGCCGTTTCCAAATATATTCCAATAATATCAACATCGTTTACACGAATAATATTCGGCAGCCCAACTCTAAAATTTTGGTCAACAGCGATGGGACTCGTCGATGTAAGTAGACGTCAAGAATTTGACATTTTATAACATTCATTCTAATTATTTAAATTCAACAGCAAACTTCTCGCAACATTAATATGAGTCATGGAACAGACGAAAGGACATCTCTGGAAAAAACAAAGAATATCATTGGTCTTGGTCTACACGCTGTTGCAAAAAATATCAAAATTCCCGTAATATCGCTTGTTGAGGTAATATTGTTGGTAAATGTTCACCGCTACAATATATGTTATTAATTAACATTCAACTAGCAATCGTCAAGCGACGAAAAGTACAAGAAAAAACGGACTAACAATATTCGCGTAGATTCTCGATCCGCAAACAAAAGTTTATCTTCCTTGGGCAAGAGAGTTCACTCAGATAATTCCATATCGGCGGAAGAAAGACAAAAGCCCAAGATTTCCGATACGAATGTAGCAACCAATTTTGAGGGAGACTTGTTCGTCGGAAACTTTACTTCGTCGGACGAGTTGGATCTATTAACAGTGCTAGATGCTAAAAGTGAAGACTCGGATTTTATAGAAGAATCGTTCCATCCAAGCAGTGCGTCAAAAGAAATCTCTCCAAACTTGCTGCCTGCCGAGAGTGAGCTACAAATGCTCGATGAATTCGATGACAGTTTACAAGACAATGTATATTACGTTCCCGACATAGACGATATAAACGAGTTCGACAGTGAATGGGCTGAAGATGAATTATCTGAATGGGACACATTATCTGATAATTCGAAAACTTTTTTTGCTGACACGGAAACTGTGCAGGAGATTCCAACCAAACAGCTGCCGACTGTTGACTCGTCGTGTTTTAATTTCATACAGAAAAGTCCTGGTAGTGACTTTGAGGATATCTTTGAGGACGTTATGTTTGACGAATGATAGTGCATTGATAAGTACCGCAAGTTGATTGAGTATATACGGTACCAAGCCTCACTAGCTGACCACAGACGTTGCTCGCTGCTAAGCTCACATCTCCTTTGCATATTAATGCTCTAAATACGAGATTATTGCCCACAAAAGGAACTGAAAACTACGATTAATATGAGCCGCAGTTGTCAACCGGGTATCTTAAATGCCGTTTCATGCTTCACATGTAGAGCGAAACTTGGAATCTAGGCAAGCCTATTAAAAAGAAGACGAGATGAACAGGGAGAAATTGGAGTAATATCGAAAGCGATAGACACGTCGAGTATTATTGTCGAGGGCTTGAAAATGTCTATAGCAACCTGGCGAAATGACTAATGCAGAGAGAATATTACGTCAATCCCGCATGATAAAAAGCTTTACTCATACAAGCAATTTCATATTCATATGCGCACGCACACGCTCATAATAAAAAAATTCCCAGAGATTCCCTTTCGGAAATGGTTGAACGATACTCTTCTGCCTGCGTGACGCGACAACACTTGATTAATCGCACTTTTCGAATCGATATGATACCGATTATGCATTTCAATCATACTGTGGCCAGATTTAATATTTGACACAAATAGTATACCACCACAGACTTTATGGTATGCTACCAACGAACGTCTGAATGTCTGCTTTTACCAAGCTAACACGAATTTTTTGTCCCTCCAAATTCGGTAAGACTGGGAATGGCTCGTATTTGCAAACACGTCCATAATTGAATTCAACCTTAAATCGCAATAGTCTAACACGATGCTAAGCAACTCGGTCAGGATTACGTATAACGATAATCAATTCTGGTTTTAATAATATTATTAGAATCTAATGACAACATGTCTTTCGAATAAACTAATTAATCAAGACGGAAATGATGAGCCACAGTTTAGAATTTACTCCTGTGCTTGTATAATCTTTGAAAAGTTGTCGAACACTAAACAACTAGTGAGCAAACAAGCTCTAGTATACAGAGCTCTGCTAGTATGATCTGGCTAATCAGCGGTTTCGTGGTAGTATGCCACGTAACATAGTGATCCAAAATGGCAGGTTGATCATTGATTGTGCACCCGAAGAAGGGGAATTGGTGCTAGATGAGCCTGCTGACGACGTTACCGTCTGCACGTTTCCGTCAGACGTAGTCGTGTAAGTTGTGTATGAAGACGACGCAGAGCTTGATGAAGTCGAGAGCGTTCCCGTCACAGTCGCGGTTGTCTGTTGTTTCGACAACAAGCAAATTAAAATCAAAAAATAAGCACCAGAGAAATATGATTAATATTATAGAAACCAAAAAGACATACCGTAACCGATGGCGTTGTAATAGTCTAGATAGAAAAACGTAAAAAAAATTGTCAGTTATCTCGAATCATATAATCTAATTGTAAACCTCATCACCAACTACTTTTAACTTACGACTGTGTCTGCAAGCACATTGCATGCAAGAAAGACAAGAAATACGATGAATGCCGTTATCTTCTTCATGATTTACAGTGTTGTTTGCGAGTTTAAGTTTTTTGCGTTGTGATTCTTTTGCGTGCGTCTTATAATTAATATTTTCAATGTACGTGACGTCACCAGACGCATGTCAATCACAATTGACGTCATTGTTGTCATCTATATGTCAAATTTTCCAGAGACACTTTCTTTCTCCCACAATCAATGTCTCCTCCACTTCCATTCTGATACCGATTGACGTAATTGTTACAAGCAATGAACAATCGATTAACTTGCCAAGCTTTTGGGGCTTCACAAATGAATCTTGGCTGAAATTTATTTAGCTAGAGTGTAGGCGCAGGCATTT